GTATTATTGTCAAACATTAACTGATAAACTGATTTTATTTAAGCTACGAGTGTTCCAGTAGNACGAATATTTTCTGGTGGGGCTGATTTAGTAGCAACAAAAAGAAGCAGCCTTAAAATACATACTATTCGTGCATGTATGTATTTAAAATCTTGGTGGTCGTGAAAGGGATTTAGATCAAAAAAAATTATCAAAGTGTGCGATAAAATAAATATATTGTAACTTTTTACTATTGTCTTGCCNATCATAAAAAAATTCGGGTCCAACTCGGGTTATTCGAGTTAAACTACAATCGGGTCGGGTCNAGTTCGGGTCACATGGTTGACCGACCCGAAAATTCGAGTCGGGTTATATGAATATTCGAGTNGAATTCGAACATCCCCTCAAACCCGCCAAACCCGACCCGTACGGAGCACTATGTCCATCTTGCTGTGTCATTTATTACATTCTCACATATTCCTCAATATACTTAATGTTATATACGTAAATTGTAATCATTTTCAAGCTCAAGATAACTTGTATAATTGAAATACAAATTTAATTTTCATTTGTCATTTCTTGTTTCATATAAAAATCATCTTGAAATTTTTTAATTTAACATAAAATTTTTTTAAAGCTTTTGTAATAATTCATGATTTTTTAAAAATAAAATATTAAAAGAATTCTATTTTCTTTTCTAATATTCTAATTTTTTTCTTGCATATATCAGTTTATATATATACTTGGGCCATTATCATGTTGAAAATTACATTTTCAACACTTATCTCCAATTCATAAGATATTCTGCAAGTATTGACTATTAAGGGTCCCCACTTAAGCTGCTATTAATTATGCAAAGATTAACAATACCTTTCATTAAAAAGCAACTTCAAATTATTACATTACTCTTACAAATTTTACTATTGGTTTAACTTCTTGATGGCTCCCCAACTTCTTCCAGCAGTATTGGAATAAGTGGCATCCATCTGATCCAAAAAGCATGAATTTACTTTTGCTTGTCAGACCAGATTACCTTTTTCTAATCTTCCACAGTCCAATTTTGACACCTTTTTGTAAAATCCAAACGACTTCATAGTTGTGCACATAAAACAAGATTCATAAAAAAATTTTTTCATACTTTAATTGCATCAGCCGGGAGTTGAACCCGGACCACTCGCTTTCTCAACATCTTGGTGGGCGAGTATACTACCGCTATACTACTGATGCTTATTAAATATTATTTGTTAAACATTACAAACTTTCAATAATTTCACGGGAAAATGTTTATTTCTTAATTTTGACAGACCATTTCTTTGATAATATCCAAATTTCAACTGAAAAACATTTCATAGTTTTGAGCTTTTTAAGCTTGTCTCGTATAGCAGCTGTCATAGAACATTTATTAAAAGCAAAGAGTTGATGACCGTGAACTTATAAACACCTGATAATTGTGTCACATTGATTAGGAAGTTTTTTTGTTAGTAAATACTGAAATTTATTTTGGGTTTCTGATTTTAATTTAGCTAAAAATTTCTGTTATGGTGCAGATTTTGTGATCAAATCAAATTTAATTTACAATTCTAGATTTATTTTGATTCGGAAAATTAATGTTTAACAGTTGTGAGCTACTGTAAATTAATAAAACATAATATATTTTTTTTTTGTGAGAGAATCCTAAAGTGATTCAAAAGTCCCGTAATCAATCATTACTGAACTTAGCAGGGATTTTCCTAACATGAACATCTGAACTTTTGGCTGGATTCATACAGCAATAATGATTTTACATCAACCTCTCCCGGATATGCAAAAGTAATTGGAATTTCTTTGAAATATTCTTCCATAAAAAGTATACCACTACTAGCTATTAATTATATGTCGAATTTCACAATCATCAACTTCCAAAGCTTTTACTCCTACAAATGTAGATATTTAATCAGAAAAAATTACATTTTTAGATTCTCTTTAATTTTCACATACCTTCTAAATTCCTAAATATTCATTGAGTTCTCTAAAATCTCTGTTAATTTACTTTTCACGAAGCGCCTTATGATAATATGTAGGCCAGTCCAATGTAATTTTAGAAATAAATAATTTTATTAGAGATTTGATCAAATAATATCGATACCAAATTTCTACAGCATTAAGTTTAAGTTTTCCTTTGATTTTTTCATGTTGCTCAGATGGTGCTTGTTGAATTAATTCTTTAAACGAACTAAATCTTAATTTATCTGTTATCAAATGTAATTTTAAATCCTTTAGTTTGTAAATTTAATCAAATCGACATCTGAAGAATCACTATATATAATCATCTTAAGTTTCATTTTTTCAGTGCAAAATTTTAAAGTTGATACGTAATTCAATGATAATATCTGATATATCCATTTCGCCATTATTTAGAAAGAAATGAAAGTTATTGATATCATTCATTTCCAAACCTACAAGATCTTTCTTGATATTAATACAGTTAGTAACAAGTTTGATAATCTTTAAGTCCTTTAACAGTTTTCTTTCCTTTTAATATTTATTTTAAAAATATCAGAAAGGGCTTTGCCTGCTATTAAAAATTTAAAATGACATTCATATTGTTTCATAAGTTTTAATAAAAAAAGTTGATTCATTATCATTATTAATTAAAATAAAGAATTTTTAAAGAGTATATTTTAAAAAAGAATCGTGATATAGAAATTAGTATTGTTCATGCAATTTTGAGTCAAATTTTTTAGTTTTTTAGATAAATCATATTTAGCAGTATTGAATATAAAAACTTTGGCAAGTCTATGTGGATAATTGTGTCAATAAAGTCTGATATTTATAGAAAATCAATGTTACTTGAGTATCGTAAACATCTACGCTCGTGACGATCACTAGTGGTAGAATTAAGATTAATGCTGGTAGATCCGAATCGTCAACCCTTAAAGCCGGTCAAGGTTGGTTGATGACCCGTGACCCGCATATGACCTGACCCATTGTCAACTGATTAAATCAAACCTACTGTATATATGGTATTAATTTTAACATAAAATCTATTATAAAATAGTTTAAATTATACTGTAGTATAAAATAACTTAATATGAAAAAAAAATTTTAAAAATTTTTACGATACAATATATAGTTTGATTTGATCAGTTGACAGCGTACCTCACACATTTGCTTGACTCGAATTTGGAATTTGGCAATATTTACTTACTGCACTGCAGATGGGCATTAATCATCGATCTTGTATTACAGCGCTTACAAATCTTAATACGCCACGCTAGTGTTCCAATCCGTTAAGGCGTTATCCGGATTGTTTGACGGATATC